GCCCATACCACCACCTCCTGCATAATGGGTAGCACCACCAAAGGCTGAACCAAACTCACACTTCCAAGCAGGGCCCTCAGACCCGCATAACATTTCCAGAATGACCTGGAGAAAAGGTAGCCAGCAGTAGGTCCAATATGGCACCAGTGGCTGCCACAGAATAGCCCCAAATGGTCAGGGCCCTAGTGGCTCAGACTCCCAGGGACACTACAGAATGCTCCACTTGGAACATAAGTCAGTGGGAGGGAATCAGGGAGGGGCGGGAAGAACAAAATGACAAAACAGAGTTTTCCCACATTTTCTACATCATAGTGAACCAATAAATCATCACTGGCGGAAATGGGAAGTTCTTCATGGCTGAGGGTAAAGGTTCCACCTGGCAACTGGGAGGTCTGAGTGTTCATATCTTTCCAGAAGTGAGACCCCTTCCAAGATTGCTCTGCAGTAAAGGACTCATCTGGTCATGTCATGGGCCAAACCTCCTCTTCTCTTGTTGCTCTAGAAGCACGAGCTACCTGCAAAAGTCCTCCAGAGATTTTGATCAGTCTGGGAGTGTGCATATGCGCATGTATGAGTTAGGAATACAAAGGGCCTTACAGGACTTTTCAATAACCGTCATGACAGCAGATTTGTCTGTTTCTCTCTATAGTGCTATCAATTTTGCTTTGAGTATTTTGGTGCTCTATCATTAGATGTATACACTTTTAGGATTGTTTTGTCTTACTGATGAATTTCTGGTAGTATTCTGGTAATATGATCTATTTTTCTGATAGTAATAAAACCAGACCAGCTTTCTTATGCTGTTTACATAGTATATCTGTGCCCACCCACTATCAACCTATTTTTTTTAATAAAGTTGGCCTCATTTAAACAGCATATAATTGGATCTTGCTTCCTTATATAATCTGAGATTCTTTGCCTTTTAGGTAGAACATTTAGTTCATTTACATTCAATGTCATTGCTATGGGTAGAATTTAAGGTAGCATCTTCATATTTTTTCTTATGTCTTTTATCTCTTTTTTCTTCTTCCTAATTTCCTCCATTTTGGGTTAATCAAGTTTTGTTCTGTTGTTGTTTTTTCTAGTATTCCATGTTATCCCTTCTATTTTAAAAAATATATACTTTGTGTTACTTTTTAGCAATTGATCTAGAAATTTAAATGCGAATCTTTGGTTATCACAGTAAAATAATGTCAAACTACCCTAGGAATAATCCAGGAAACTTATAACCATCTAGTTTTATTTAGCACCTTTCCTGGCTTTTGTGAACTTGGCACATAAGTTACTTCTATATCTTCTATATATATCATAGTTCCACAATACATTTTTATTACTATGTTTTAAATGGTCAATAATCTTTTACAGAATATATATGTGTGTATAGATATATGTACATTATGTACATTTTCCTAGCGAAAAATCTGCCATTATTCTATAAGTACTGTATCTTTTTCTCCAGGCTAATTTTACAGTTTTCTCTTCCTGTTTTTCGGAAGTTGACGGGTTTGCCTATGGTTTCTTTTGAATTTATCCTGCTTGGGGTTCACTGAGATTCTTGGACCTGTGGGTTGTTCCATTTCATCAGTTTGGCGAAACTCATGGCCATCTCCTCTTTAAATATTTCTTCTGGCTGCTCTTTGTCTCCTCTCTTTCTAGGACTCCTTCTGTACTTACTAGATGATTTGATAGCAATCCCTAAGGTCCCAGATGTACTTTTTGGTTTTTCATCCTTATTTCCTCTTTGTTTCCAGCTTGTATAATCTCGGTTAACCTGCCTCCATGTTCGCTGATCCTTTCCAGTTATTAAAAGAGATTCTGATAGGATATTTTTCAGTTCTAGTATTTCCATTTGGTTCCTTTTAACATTTTCCTTGGTGTCTTGCTGTTGTTGTTTGTTTTTTGTATTTGCTGAAACTTTCCTTGTTTACACATGCTACCTATCTTTTCCACTAGATTCTTGAACATATTTGTAATAGCTATTTAAAAGTCTGTGTCTGCTCATTCCAACCTCTTTTGGGCTTGCTGGGGAGTTCTATTTGCCCTTACATCATGTTCCTTATTTTGTTTTTAAAAATCGGAAATTATTTAAACGCCCAAATAAGAAGAGAATGGTCATGAGAGTTATGGGAAAACCAATACAGGACTTGTATGCACTGATTTATAAGATAGTTCTGAGGAGAAGGCACATGCTTAACCTATAATTGTTCAATTTTGAAAAACAGAACATTAAGTTTTATCTAATAAAAATGATGTAGAAAGCTTTATATACATATGGACAAATACTAGAAGGAACCTCCTACAAACGAAATATTTGAGCCACTGATGTGGCAAGATCATAAGCAGCTCTGTCTTAATTTTTTGTTGTGACTTCCATTAATAATGCCGATCCTATGGAGTATGTAATAAAGTACAAACTTTAGACACATAGAAATAACAAGAACAATTTCTTCGTCTACAAAAGATAACCCAGAGCAGAAAGGAGCCAGCTGGCCTCTTCTCCCCTAAGGCCCAAACAAAAAGAAACTACTTTAAAATACAGCAAGAGAACTGTGTTAGGAGCAGGAAAGAAAGGGCCTTTGGCCTGCTGAGGCTGTGATATGAAGGCTAAAATGAGAGAGTTGGAAAAGAGGAATCGACTTGGAAAAACCAGATGTGCAAAAGTCCAGTGCTGCCCATAGGTTCTTCATTAATTGACAGTGATGCCGTCAGACTGACATCTCTGAGTAAACCATCTTCATTTTCATCGCTGTTAGTATGGACTAGAACTGGTTACCAAGAGAAGCTGTGGAATTTTTCCCCTGAAGGCCATTTAAAATCAGATATAGACAACCACGTGTCTAAAAGACTTCAGAGCCCATCATGCCTGGAGGCAGGGGATTCAATTAAATGACCCCTGAAGGCCCTTTTAAACCCTATGACTTTGGGATTCCCATGCTAACAATATTATATTAGGAAAGCCTGATTATCCAATGTTTTCCTCAACCTTTCGGTGTGCTCTCTGCTGATGTGTTTTTCAGACTGGAAAGAGAAACTCCTTCCTGCAAGGAGTAGGCTCCATTCTCTCCCTGACATGAGGTGGAAATGTTAGTACTGCAAATATCGCTGGGAAATATTCCCCAGCTGCAGTAGGTCATTTCTTCTCTCACTGCCAGGTGTCACTATGCCTGGAGAGTAACATAGCAAGGAAGAGCGAAGGGAGGGTGTTGCAGAGGGAAGAAAGGGTAGCCTGAGAAACTGGGTGAGTGGACCTGGCAGGAAGGGGGAGGTGGGGGGCGGGGAGGGGAATGCATGGAAAGTCAGCGACATGAAGCAAGTGTTTGAGATTAAAAATAAAAAGTCTACTAAGCCGAAGTTGTGTGTGTGTGTGTGTGTGTGTTTAAAGTGCCTTAGGACACAAAATTGTACACCACTGAACAAAAGCTATTATTTGACCACGGTCACTAAAAATATGAAAGATGCCAGACCAAATGCTTCACGAGACATCATCCCCAGCAGCCCGAAACGGGGGACACTATCAGGCAAGACTTGTACGAACCCATTTGGAATGAAAAATTAGTGACCTGCAAAAAATAACCAAATAAGCTTGTATTTTGCCCCCAAATTTCTCATCTCTTATTTGTCAGTGATCACATCCAGGGGTTCTCTTTTGAGGACCGCCTTTTGCCCTCCTTTGGAATGTGATTTTGCACCCAGAGAAGGGACCAGGGCAGGAATTATTGAAAGCCCAGTTTCAGATCCGCATTAACAATTCATGGAGCTCATCTCTAGTTCCACCTAAGGCGCAGGGAAGGACACCTGATGTGCAGGCGAGGGCTTGTTCAAAGTGTCTCCTAATCTGCTTTGAAATGCACAGTGGATTGGGGCCAACTCGAGGTCAACACCCCATCCTTGTTTGGTGCGCCCCGGCTGTTCCCCGGGCAGAGGAAGTGAAAAGGCGGGTCTGACTGCAAACCCATGGGCAGCGCCCAGCCGGCAGCTGTACGGTCTTTTGAAATGCAAACCTCTAGAGCTGAGGGGTTGGAAACTTCTTTTCTATTCAGGGCCACTGGCTCACAGAGGGGGGAAAAAAATAATCACCAAAAAGTAATTTAGGTTGAGTAGTTTACAAAGTGAGATGGATCAAAGGTTAAACTCACACAATTTAAATACTGAGAATAGGGATTTCTATTTTTTAAAAGATTTATTTATTTATTTGAGAGAGCGTACTAGAGAGGGAGAGAGCAAGCACGAGTAGGGGGGCAGAGGGAGAGGGAGAAGTAGGCTCCCCGCTCAGTGGGGATCCCAGGACCCTAGGATCATGACCTGAGCCAAAGGCAGACGTTTCACTAACTGAGCCACCCAGGCGCCCCCAGCATAGGGAATTTTAAACATTATTCATTAAGTATACCCAAGTTGGGGGAATGTATTTTAATTTCAGATGAGGAGGAGGGAAGCAGGGCCCTGGCTCCTTCCAGGCCACCAAACCTTTTGCAGGTAAAGCATGCATTGAGCATGCGTGCATGTGTTCCTCCTCGCAACACTCTCTGGCTTTGCGGTGCCAGGCCCTCCTGGTTTTCCTCCCACCTCCCGACATCCCACTCGGCGGGGTCATTTGCCAGGTCTTCCTCCTCATCTCACACTTGGCTGTCGGTTCCTCCAGGCACGGGCTAGACCTGCTTTCATTCCCTCGCTGTGCTCTCTGCCTGAACACCTCTCCCACGCCCTCGCGCCTCTGCGACTGTAAGCACCTGAGCACACATCGCCACCCAGACCTTCCTGCCAAGCTCCAGGCCTGTAAATCCCTCTGTGCACACAGAGCCCCTCGTCGTCTCCCACACACCTTCCACTCAGCGTGTTCTCAGGGAGTGCAGAGCCATCTGCTCAGTGCCCCAAATCCAGACCCTAGGAGTCAGTCTTGAAAGCTCCCTCCCCCTCACCCCACATCCAATCCATCTTCAGACCCTAAATCTCTCTCCTCTCTCCTCCCAAAGTCTCAGCTGTCCCAGCGCAAGGTTACTAACCAGTTTCTTTGCATCCATGTTGCCTCCTCCAGCTCATTCTGTCCACGCCGACCCTTCTCAGGCCGAAGCAGGGCATTCCAATGCCTTTCAAGTAAAGATCACCGTCCTTATCACGGCCCATAAAGCAGCGAAGGACCCGCCTTGGCACCATTTCGCAGCCTTCTCTCCAGATACCTTCCTGCCTCCCGCAGCCCTCCCACGCCCTTCGGATTCACTCTGGGAACCACGCAGGACTCGGCCGCTCCGCCCCACGTCAGCCTCTCCGGAAATGCGGGTTTTCTCTGCTTTTATCTGCTTCCTCCCGTGCCCAGGCAGCCTCAGCAGGATTACTACTTCCTCAGAGAAATCTTCCCGCATCCCCAAGGCCAAATCGAAACCTCCATTTGTCCAGCTTCCTTGTCTCCTTGACTTTTCATTTTTGTAGGATCTCACTTTCTAATTAAATGACTATTGTACGTATTTAGTGGCTTGCTATCTTGGCATTGCTGTTTCTCCAGTTCAGGGCACTATGTCCTGCACACAGGATATGGTCAATGAAGCTATCCTGAATGAATGAATAAATGAGTCCTAGAAATAGAGATAAAGGGGTATCTGGGTGGCTCAGTCGGTTGAACATTGGACTCTTGATCTCAGCTCAGGTCTTGATTTCAGGGTCATGAGTTGGGTCCCACCCTGGGCTCACCCTGGGGATGGAGCCTACAAGAAAGAGAAAGAAGAAAGAAAAGAAAGAAAGAGAAAGAGAGGAAGAGAGAGAGGGGGAAGAAAAGAAAGAAAGAAAGAAAGAAAGAAAGAAAGAAAGAAAGAAAGAAAGAAAGAAAGAAAGAAAGAAAGAAAGAAAGAAAGAAAGAAAGAAAGAAAGAAAGAAAGAAGAAAGAGAGGAAGAGAGGGAGGGAAGAAAGAGAAAGAAAGAAAGACAGAAAGACAGAAAGACAGAAAGACAGAAAGACAGAAAGAAAGAAAGAAAGAAAGAAAAGAAAGAAAGAAAGAAAGAGACATAGAGATAAAATCATCAAAAAATAAAAGGAGAAAGACTACCTGTAGCTGAGCTACTCACAATTTGTGTATTTTTATTTGTGTGAATTCTGTCAGATTTCCTCCCTCTCTCAGTTACTCATATTGGAATTAGTGACCAGTTCAAACCCCAATGGCTTTTTCATATTAACTCATGCCCTGCCAGGTAGGCCTCTGTGCTTAGATAATTTGTATATCATCTATATGTAAAGTTTTTATCTTTGGGAACAAATACAATTTCTGAAAACAAATTCTGTCATCCAAGATATTAACTGTCCTCACCGGCTATCATTTGGAAATACTATAGTCATGATTTTCATGCCTTTTTTTTTCAAGTTGTTAATCAATGGTCTCCTCATATTAGCACTGCAAGACCCTACAAATAATGCAAAAGGTCTCTTTCCCAGTGTGGCAAGCATAATTCGTCAACTCATCCAATAGCCATTTCTCCCAACTTTCTATTCTTCACTCTCTTTCAATTATAGAGGCTAAGAAAAGCCAGAAACCCGATTTGCCAGCTTTCCTTGTAGCTAGTGGTGGCTAGTGAGACATAAGGGGACATCTTCGAGAGGAAGGAATATAGGGAAATATTTTGCTCCCATTAAAACAAACAAAAAAGCAAGGTCAACCTAAGTTGTGTTCCCTTAACATTGATCACTCTATTACTTCTACCTTTGAAGGTGATTTGATGCCTGGAGCTTTAGCAGCCATCTTGTGACTTATGAAGTCACAAGCATGAAAATAGAGTTAATCTGATGAAGATGGAGGAACTTTTGAACTAGCCTATTGTAGGTTCACGACCTTCTGGGGAGCTTTCTGGTATAATCTGGTACAATCTGAAACCCTGTGTGCAGAGGGAGGGGAGAGACCAAAGAAAGAGACCGGCCACTCCGTGTTGGTAGGTGGCAATTTTAATAATAGCAAAGGGAACTTACATGAAAGGCCTGTCTAGGGCAGCAGTAAGATGAATAGATCCCCATGCTAAAAGTTTATAAAGAGGTCCTAACTGGGCTCAGTCACATATATCATGCAGGTGTTCTCAACACCACATCACCATCTCAAGACTGTGTCTTTGGAGCAAACTCTATGAGCAGAAAAGGCAAGTGAAACCCACATTCTAAGCACAGGGGAGGGAGTGAGGAGCTTCCAAGTGCCCAGGTCCAGCTCACAGGTCAATCAGTGGTCACATCTTTTTTACCATGTTCCCTTATACCTGTTATGCTCCCCTTCAGAGTTCTTGTTAGGAGAAATAACTGTGTCCTTACTACTTTAGCCACTATGAGCTGGGTTTTCTGTGATTTACTGTCAAAAGTAACTTGAGGGGTGCCTGGGTGGCTCAGTCTCGGTTTAGCATCTGCCTTCAGCTCAGGTCATGATCCCAGAGTCTTGGGATCAAGTCCCTCATTAGACTCCCTGCTCAGCAGGGAGTCTGCTTCTCCCTCTCCCTCTGCTCCTCACCCCCGCTTATGCTCTCTCTCTCTCCCTCTCAAATAAATAAATAAAATCTTCAAAAAAAAAAAAAAGTAACTTGGATGATACATTTAGTTAGAATGGGACTATTGAGCAACATTCAATGTAGAGTAGATCAACCAGACATAATTCTGTCTACCCATAGTGAACTCCAACCCACATTTTTCTGTTTTATCCACAAAGCTATCATGAAAGACTTTATTTCAAATTCCTTCCTCAAGTCCAGGTGCCTGAGACTGTGATATTTCCCCCCTTTGATAGTGTTATAAATTTACCCCATAAGCATTGCTCTTGACCTGAAAACAATATAGATAATAGACACATTGTGCTCAGATCCAGTTTCTGTGAGATTTCATCTGGATTAACATTAAGCCTCTTTAGATCTTGTTCTCTGTCAGCTTCATCCTACCCTTTTTCATAATTATTTTTTGAAGTGGCTAGGTACCCTTTCATTTTGAACACATAAAAATGAAAAATCCAACAAAACAAAGAATAAGTTCTCCCTACTGCTCTTCCAAACTCTTGTATGGTTTTATATCCGGAAACATCTTCAGAGTCTCTTTCCAGTAAATAGAAGAGTCAAAATATCCTCTGGCATAAGTTAGAATATCAGTTGGGCTTCTGTATCATGGACTCAAAATAATAGTGGCCTCAGTAAGAATGGTGATTTCTTCTAGCCTAACAGTCCAGCCACTAGCAGGCTGGCCTGGCATGGGAGTTCCAGAATGTCAGCCACCCAGTCGCCTTCTGTCTTCTTTCTCTAGCATATCTGCTTGGCTTTTTCTCTTGGTCCAAGATGGTACCCACCACATCCCCATTCAGGGGAGCAGGATGGAGAAAGGAAAATGGTGGATGTCCTTTCCCTGAAAGGGCATGACCCAGAAACTAACACACATCACTTACACTCACATCTGACTACAACTTAGGCACATGGCCACACTTGGAAGCAAGAAGTCTAGGAAATGAAGTTGCTATTCTGGGAAGCCATGTGCCCTGCCATATATCAGGGCTTCTACCACCGTAGACAAAGGGAGGAGAGATTGTGACGGATAATTTACAGTCTCTATCAGACATCCCCCCAAGAGAAATCTGATTTCCTGGGCTAAAGTTGCAGTAACAAACAATAATGTAATCATCAAAATGAAATCAAGCCAAAGGCTGAAGCTGGCTCTTGGGCTAGACAGAAATCACCCACTTTAATCAGAGAGGCCCAATATTTTCTAGGAAGTTTTTCTATCATAGTTGTTCTCAAAGTGTATGGCTGGGACCAGCCACAGAAGTATCACCTGGGAATTGTTAGAAATGCAAACTCTTGGGGCCCACCTGACTGACTGGATCAGGAACTCTGGAGATAGAGCTCAATAACCTGTTCTCCATGGGCTCTGCAAAAGATTCTGATGCATGTTCAAGTTTGAGAACCACCATGCTATAAAGTATCGCACTTCATGTATTTCTAACAAGCATCTCTAAATTCCTACAATAAGGCACCCAGTACCTGAATACTTCTTGTGCTCAGGTAAGTAATGAACTATTCAGTTAAGGAGAAGTCCTGATCATAAAATGGATTCCAAATAAAATACATATCTCTATATTAAGGAGTCTTTAATTCCTCTTAAGAAATATTCTATTAGATATGTATGTAACCTTTTCAAAAACAACAGTTGTGCAGCAGTGAATTTAAAATCAAGAAAAGGGCAAATCTTCCTCTTACTATATCATCATCATAAAGACATGGATCAGCTCCCTTTCTGATGCAGTCAGCATCATGAAAAGGACATCCAACGGGGGCATCTCAGCCCAAAGGAAGTGGTGCCAAGGGGTTCACTGGGTGGAGGAGGTAGGAGTTTCTGGGGCATCCCTCCAGACAGTGCTTTTCTTATCTAGCTCCTAGGTGTGAACAATTACTTATATACACGTCTTTCCTTTCTCTTATGGTTTTATTGCTTATAAGATGTAAAATATTGTCTTTATAGTCATTTACAGCAGTGCCACTCAAACATTTGTGGATGAATCATCTGGGGATCTTGATAACATGCAGATTCTAACTTGGTAGGCCTGGGACCAAGCCTGCAATTTTGCATTTCTAATAAGCTTGGGTGAGGCTCATTCTGCTGGTCCACACACTGCACTTGAGTAGCAAGGATTCATAGAGTAACAGGATAAAGGATAGAGGAGCTGTTTCAGAAAGCCTCCCAACTGTAGCTAATGTCAGCATACATAGGAACTATTCAAATTAAATCTTCAACACCTGGTAGATTGAAAAAAGAAAAGATGGGGCACGTGGGTGGCTCAGTCAGTTAAGCATCTGACTCTTGGTTTTGGCTCAGGTGATGATCTCATGGGTTGCAGGATCGAGCCCCATGTCAAACTCCAAATTCAGTGGGGAGTGTGCTTGAAGATTCTCTCCCTCTGCCCTTCCCCTGACTCGCTCGTGGGAGTGTGCTCTCTCGCTCTCTCTTATTAATTATAAATAAATAAATAAATCTTCAAAAAATGTAAAAATAAAAGTTCCCTTCATCTCTGGTATTCTTTAGGAAAAAAAGGAAAGATGCCTATTTACTGGGAGCAGTGGACAAAGAGAGGAAAAAAGAAGGGGACACAGGATGCCCGTTCCCCCAATTATTGCTCCACCCTTGCTTCCGGGGCAGGACATCCTCACAGTCCTCAGTGTTGTTTTCCCTGGGAATCATTATAGTTGATGACAGGTATTCCCTTATGTGTGCATTTGTTT